TACTTAAGGGGGACTATAAACACTCAACATCACTAAAACCAAACGCATGAAGCCTAGGCCGGTGCCTGTCAAGGCTTCAGGGGCTCCAACGGCAAGCGGTTGCATCTGTGCTACAAGTAGCGTGGAACCTTCAGTCTAACGGTCCAACTACATGGACTGCCAAATACACATAATGATATGGGTAGTTTGGCCGTTATATGTGCAGTTGGAAGCTCCAGGTATTGATCCAACCCAACTTTTCTCATGACTACTCTACCCAACCACATTTGAAAAGAACTCAAAGCGCTTGGTGCTGACTCCACAAGCGCAACATGGTGCCTGCCATTCCCGGTGCAGCAGCCTGTCGAAACATGAGAGGCGATGTAGGGCGGACTGTGGGAGGCAGGTTTTGGGGGAGGCTTTATGGCTTAGATAAAAAGACAGTATGTTCTTGGTTGGCTCCCAAAACCCTTTGAAAAATATTCGTATGTAGGGTCCCCTGTTATCAAAGCATGAGGAACAATTCTAAACATCCCAGGAGGTTACCCAGTGTTTCAGGCATATACTGCGAGGCTGACGTCTTCTCTTTCCAGCCCTTCAATGAACGAAGTTGGTACCCCCAAAGCAGAACTCTATTGCCAAGACTGGTGTCCAGCTTATGCTGCCTGCAGACCCTGGACCCCAAACCCTGGCGTGTTTGAGGACACTTTCAAAAGCAATGCAACCATTTTGAGGGTCACTCCTCCTTACAACACTAGTCCTTGAGATAGATTGAGTGTGCAATTGTAACTCCTAGTGCCGGGGCCCCATCAGGAAGGTGCGGCGCTTGCCGAGCGATAGGAACAACTCAAGCCAATGCCCTTGTAATCAAACTCGCACATGTCGTCTAGAGCCGCCAACCATAGAAGGACCGGAAGCTCTGGACCCCACCTAGATGCCAAAGTACCCTCCATAGAGCCCAAGTGCCCACAAACAAGAATCTACAAAACCTCTTCGAGACGAGAAGCCCCGGTTCCTTGACCGACCAAGGGTACAATCCTTCTAAAGGGGGAGCAGATCATCAGATTGCATATGTGGGTGAGGGTAGTATCCCTAAATCACAGCCATGAACTCTTATCCCTAAACACTTCTTGCTAGAGACCCTCATCCCTAGAGCCTGCATAATTGACGTCCGTACAAGACGGGGGTTTGGGTTGCCCTCAACCTTGAACCCTAAACGCTAAACCACAGACCTTAAAGCTTTAACCCCTAAGCCATAAGCCCAAAACCCTAAAACTCCCCACACTAGCACTGCGGGAGCCTAAGTCCCCAAGCCCTCAAACCCTAGGGCTCAAGCCAAGGGCCCCCACAAAGCCCAAAACGGCCAATTATGCCTTAGGAGGACCCCCGCCCCATAATAGCGTTCTATTCCTCATTATCCCTTATAGTCACCATTACAGGGTGGGGGGTCCTCCGAAATTATACCATAGGGGAGTAGAGAATAACCAATCCTATTTTGAGGTCAGGTACCCTATACTATACTTGTTCACGGGTTATGGAGCTGTAGCACGGGCATCCCGATAAACTGCTATCTACCCCCAACTTCCATTTCATCTTCCATGTTCTTTTCCACCTGACGCTGCAAAATCCCGAAACCCTTAAACCATCTTAAACCTAAACCCCTAACCCTAAACCCTAAAACCTAAACCCTAAGCCCTAAACCCTAAGCCCTAACCCTAAGCCCCTGAACCCTTTGGTGGGGCCTTTGGGGGAGGTACTTGGCTGGGAAGCGCTAGCTGTGCCACAGCTGCCGAGCAGGCCATCCTTGCGGCGTTTGGGGGGTTTAGCTTGGGTACTGCCCCCACCCAGGGACAGTCTATATTACTTGGGTTATTATCCCCCTATAATGGAGAATCAAATGGAAAAGAACATGGAAAATGAAATGGAAACTGGGATTATAGGGTTTATAGGGGCAGTAACAGTGTATATTAGGGGTCCTATTAAGGGCGATATATAACCATATTATACTCATTATCCAGCTGTTACTGAGGGGGGGGCAGTACCCAAGTTTGGGGGCTTTAGCATCACACGGCTTAGGGGGTTTAGGGTTTGGGTCTTAGGGTTTAGGGTGAGGAGGTTTAGGGCTCAGGATTGAGGGTTTAAGGTTTAGGGTTTAGGGGGGTTTAGGATTTGTGGTTTGGGGGTTTAGGGCTTAGGGTTCAGGGCTTCAGGGCTAGGGTTCGGGGATAGGGGCTGCTATTTCTTTATGAGGCCATGATTCAATATGAATATGACAGATGGCTCATTGTGCTTTAAATTCGAAAAATACAGGGGTTGAGGGGTCACCTGGGCCGTACAGGGTTCAGGGTTTGGGGTCTTGGTACACATTCGGAGTTGGACACTATTAAGTTGGGAACCCTAAGGGGCATGGGGCTTAGGGCGCATGGAGTTCAGCTTTTAATGCTCTAGGTTGGGGGCTCATCTGGGCTGCTGTTAAGGGATTTAAATTAAGTT